TCCCATGTTGTTCCTATCTGCATTCTACGTTTTGTGCAAGGGTATCAGTTGAAGCAAGGTCATGTATAGAAACCTCGTTAGGGAAATGCAATGTACCTTTTATAGTTAAGATCTCTTTAACACAGAAGGCCTATTAGAGAGGTTTTGGTGAAGATGCAGAGTGAGCCAATCTCCAGTATCTGCTAAGAACTGAAAAAGATTATGGGGAAATCCATGTGGAAGAAAATGGGGGACAGAAGATTAGTGGTGGCAACAGATTTCCTATTAAAGAAGAGTTTAGGGGATACTATCTCATTGGAAGTGGGTTCAGGGGATTTGCCTTGAAGCTGTGTTTGCCTAGCAAATACACTGTTCTTACTTAGCTCAGTTGTTTGTTTCAAGTGGCACCCAGGGGAGCTAATGGAGGTCTAAATCAGACAAGTAGGGTGAACCTTCACATCACAACCAGATAGAAAAGGTAAAAATGCTACCAGGATTACTACCCTTACTTCACAGATTGAACTGGGCTTCCTCTGAATAGCAAAATAAGTGACAAGAAAACCTTTGAGCCTGGCTGGTGTGACTCAGTGGCTGAGAATCAACCTATGAACCAGGAGGTCACGGTTTGATTTCTGGTCAGGGCACATGCCCAAGTTGTGTGCGGGCTCGATCTCCAGTAGGGGGCATGCAGGAGGCAGCTGATCAATGATTCTCTCATCATTGATGTTTCTCTCTCCCACTCCCTTCCTCTCTGAAATCAATAAAAATACATATATTTTTTAAAGCTTAGTTTCTTAAAAAAAAAAAAACAACCTTTACCTCTCTGAAATCAATAAAAATACATATATTTTTTTAAAGTTTAGTTTCTTAAAAAAAAAAAGAAAGAAAACCCTTGAATAAAGTGATCTACTATACTGATAGGAGTCCCACTAAACAGTTCTATGAATGAGAAAAAAAGACTAGTTTTTAAAACAAAATTGTGACATAATTTATGAAAAATGCAAACTATGTTACAAAGTATTTTAAATTCAGATCTTCCAGATAACCTTGGATTTATTATTTCTACACTTATCACATCCAAACTGGCACAGGCAAGAAGGAACAAGTGTTTTCCCTTCTTTATATTGCATTGGTGTGTGTTTTTGTGTTTTTTTCATCTCCCTAACTTCAAACATCCGCTTGCTTTCAAGGTAGCTTTGGAGCAATGAACCATCATATTTATCTTTGTGGGATTCCTGACAATTCCTTTTCATTGCCCCAAGTTTACTTCAGTAGGTGAGTGGATACTTATGTATTTTTTACATGTATTTACTTTTTTAAAAATCAAGCCATTTGGTGAAAACTGCACATCAGAAGTCCAACAACACAGAATAGAAACAACTCCTTTCTAAGCCCCCTGTGGACTTCCTAGGAGAGGATGCCTGGGCTACTACACGTACATTTTGCAGATCTGTTGGGTTCTCAGTTCATAGCTTTCAACTCCCTGGCTCCTCAGCAGCTCCTTCTCTTCTGCTGCATCTGGAGCTTTCAGCTGGGGGAAGTGGGCCGGAGAGGTGATGAAATCGTAGTGCCTGTCCAGATGCCGCAGGTAGATGAGCATGTGTAGGGCGTAGGCCAGAACCAGCAGCAGGATCAAGGACATGGCCAGGCCAATCAGAATAGCTGGTGAGAAGGGAGAGGCACAGTCTCGGGCCTTGGCAAACTGTGCCCCATTCATGGTAAAGCCTTGGATCTGTCAGGAGAAAGAGAAGACACCCCAGCTGTTTTGGCTCAGTGGATAAAGCGTCAGCCTGTGGACTGGAGGTTCCAGGGTTCAATTCCGGTCAAGGAGACAGTCCGGATTTCGGGCTCGATTCCCAGTAGGGGATGTGTAGGAGGCAGCTGATCAATGATTCTCTCACCATTGATGTTTCTATCTCTATTTCCCTCCCTTTTCTCTGAAATCAATAAAAATACATTTTAAAAAAAGAAAAGAAAAAGAAGAGCTGAAATGACAAATTTTCTCCTAAGATATATTTCCCAGTCAGGCTGGGGTTCTGGACCCCTAATTAGCCCCATATTTATGAAATAATTTAAGCCCATGATCTAAAAAGTGTGAGTGTGCTTACAGGACAGTGAAACTGACTTTTAAATCACGACTGACCCAGAAACTCCTCTAGGATGTATGACTGCCATAATTAAGAAGCTCATGAAATTCAAGGCTCTGAAATAAAACCTTTATTCCAAGGATCTAAAATAAAACTTCTTTTAATCCAACTCTAAGAAATGTTCTCATTCACCTAAAACCACAACTGCTGTAGTGTCTCTAAAATTCAAACACACTCAAATTTTATGTTTTAGTATAAATTTCACAAAGAATTTTAAGTCTTAGTTTGTCTACCTTTGATTGTGTTGATAGAAATTAGACAGGAAGACTCTTAAGGGAAGATAACATGATTTCCAATGACATAAAACAGAAAATAATAAAAGCTAACAGTTATTTAAGGTTTAATGCTGCCTTAACTCACTTAATATTTACAGGAGCCTGTGAGTACATTATTATTCTAGTCCTATTTTATGGATGAAGAGACTGAGGCACAGAAAAGTTAAGTAACTTGCCCAGTCACACGGCATTACGTATAGTAAAGGTATAATTCAAACCTAGGCAGTCTGGCTTCAGAGTCACTTCCTAGCTTACTACATAACTCCTGGTGTGGTCTGTCTCTTCTCCCTCCCATCACTACCTCTCCCTCTTTATCTGTTGTGCCCTACCAACTGGGTACTGTTTCTGGAAGAGCTGTATAGCAGTCCTTCCTTGCATCCTACCCAGAGAATAGAAAGGAAAGCTTCCCTATATGCACAATGAAGTGGTTTAATTAGTGGGAACAAGGAGAGCTCAAATCAACAACTGGCCCTGACATCCAAATACTATCACAATGAAAGAAACAAGGTTGCAGAGCAACTACTCTGAAGGGAGCAATCTTTTGTGGAAGGCGGCCCCACATGTAGCTGGCTTTTAGAACGCTGCACTGTGTCCCTTCACTCAGTCACCTAGTTAATTTGAAAGAAGTACATCAGGAAATTGAATTATCCATGTGGTTTACTGAGGATTCATTTTTATGATGTAAGTGGGCACGGTAGCATTTTTCCATGCTAAAGTGATTGTAGCCACTCATCACGCCACAGACCTTAGGGGCCTTGCTCGTCCAATTGTCTGTGCTCTAGACTGAATCCAAAACAGCTTCTGAAGGAGAGTTTTGGCCCGGCTTCTGCGACCCTTGGCCTGCCCCCTCAATGAAGAGGTAAAGTGGCCAGTCTCCAGATCAGTGCCTGAAGAGTCAAGCTCCTCAATTACAAATGATGGACTCACTGATGCTGCAACGCTAGCCCAAGAGAATGTCCTCACACTGACTGCCATGTCATTCTTAACAAGACCTGGTTGAATCAAACAGTATCTATAGAGACTGCCTGAAAGATATGTTCTCCATCCATTTTCTGGACTGGAGATTGCTGTGTTCACACCAAGGCTGCTGTCCAAAATGTTGGCACCTATTTATTGCACAGCACCAGGGATGGACGTGCTCCTCACACACACACTTTTAGTATTCTTATGGACCCCACGAGCACGTAACTGGGTGAGTCTTTCTTATTCTGGCTGCTCCAAAGCTTCAGGATCAAATGACTGAGCCTTCTCCAGCCAGGGCGCACAGATGGTCTTGTGGTTCTATGTACCAACCTCACCAGATCTAACTCATCTTTTCTTCCTTTGGTTTTCTTAACCTTCATGTCTTTGCCTATTTTGCAAAGTTATGTTTATTATAGTATGTGTATGAGTCATCTTAAGTCCTTTCTGGAACAAGGTGGAGGCATAAATCAGTCACTTCTTCCCAGCTGGTGTGGCTCAGTGGTTGAGTATCGACTTATGAACAGGAGGTCATGGTTCGATTCGATATCCGGTCAGGGCACATGCCCGGGCTGTGGGCTCAATCCCCAGTATGGGCATGCAGGAGGCAGCCGATCAATGATTCTCTCTCATCATTAATGTTTCTATCTCTCTCTCCCTCTCCTTTCCTCTCTGAAATCAATAAAAATATATTTTTGTAAAAATCAGTCACTTCCTCTGTTCTAATTAGGTGAAACTGTGTGTGAGTTATTCCTTGTTTTCATTATTACCACCTCATTGCCCTTTCTGCCCACTTCTGTTTTAAAGGGGCAAGATAAATACACTGTGTGTGTGTATATATATATATATTTTAAATAGATTAAATATATGTTTGATATGTATTAAAGTGTCTTTGAGCCAAACAGTCCAGAATTCAAATTCTGTCTCTACCATTTACCAGTTATGTCATTTTGAAAAATGATGCAAATCAGTGCTCCAGTCACCTCACTGGAAAAATAACTGCAACAGGCTGACACACAGATAGGACTCGTAAGTAGTATTGTTAATCCACGCCTGACACGGTCCTGGTGTTGCTACATATATTAGGCCATGAATTCTTTACATCCATAAAGATAGATCTGAAATTGAGAAGGTGAAGTAACTTGCCCAGGTGGCTGAGAAGTAATTGGAAACCAGGACTGTCAGGCTCCAAAATGCAAGCTCCTTCCCTATGCCAAATCGCCTCTCATCAACACCATACCTCTCCAAGCTGGGGGGAGGAGGTAAATATATATGTGAAAGATTGGAAAAGGGACAACCCTGCCTGCTATTTCAGTGAGTTGCAAGAACAAGTTAAAGCTTTTTTCACAGGTAAACAGGATAAAAGGACTTGACAGACATCTCTGAGCCTGAGATCCTGGTGGTGAAAAGGAACCTCTTATGCCCCCATGCCTTTCCCCAAATACTTTCAAGAGGATCTCTGAGATATTTTTGACTCCCTGGCTGACAGCTCCATTCCTACGCTAACTGCCAAAGCTGTCACTCACACTATAGATATACTTCTTATCTGCCCTGATAGGATCACTGCTCCACTCCCTGAAGGAAATAAAATAATTGTCTGGTAATTCCTTTCCCTAGAAGGGCTTCTCACTCCAGGAAGTGTCAGTGACTGGGCTTTGGGCCACAGCCTCACTGGGGCTTAGATTGCTGGCATTCCTCACTGATAATCTGTTAGTGAATGGATAAACCTAAATGTAAAATCAAGAGGGATGGGGAGTATGCAGGGAGAGGAAAGACTATCCTATTCCATTTCTCACGTTAGACTTGGAGGATAAAGAAAAAGAAATACTATTTTAAACATATCCACTCCTCTTTTTCCCTTGAACACCTATGTTTCTATGTCAGGTGTTTTCAAACAAATACTGAGTTTCTTTGGCACAAAACACGCAGGAGCATGTATAATAGTTTATTACCTGGAAATCAATGAAAGTGACCTCCCACAGGCTTGACATATCATCCATGTCGCTGGGCAGCAAGAGGGCATCATACTGCTGCTGGCTGCTGACGTGCTGGCAGTGGTAGGAATAACTTGACGGAGCATATATGCCAGTTGCATTAAAAGTTGCTTGGATTGAATTATTAAAAATAATCTCAACTCGGTGCAAACTAAACCAGCTCTGCAGAGAAAACTTGTTGTAATTGGTAAGAGTGAATCTGAAAACAAATATAAAACAGTATTACCCCCAAAGCACTTTTACACTTGCTGACACAGAACATCATCTATAAACAGAGCAATCTCGCCCTCTTTTGTCAGATAGAAGAAGTGGCTCAAAGAGAGAGTCTGGGATGGTTCTGAACAAGAGCTTCCTGCTGGGTGGGAATGAAAGCAAAAGACCAGGCAGCCCCCCAGATTGTAGCAATACAATTCCTACAAAAGGAAAAACACAAAAATATTGGCTTTTTTCTGTTTTGGAATTAACACTTGATTTTATTATTGCTAAAAACATTGAGAAAAACTTAAGTGGACATCAATATAGAATTAGCTAAAGAAATAATGATCAAAATTAACAGCAATGGCTCTTTGTGTTGAGTACTCTATGTTTTTCATATACATCTTATTTCATCTCCAATACAACAATAAAGATAGATAATATTATTATCCTCATTTCACAGATGAGGAATCTAAGATACAGAGGGGTTAAATATATAACTTGTGCAAGTTCACTCAGAGAGTAAGTATTGGAGCTGGGCATTGAATTCAATCTGCAGACAAGAGCCCTGATTCTTAGCTATTGTAGAATTGCATATTCTCCAGCCATAAACACATTATAATGTACATTTGCTGTGATCATTTTTCACATAAAAAAATACATGATCAAAATGTTAATGGTGATTATAAATTGTGGTTGAATTATGGATGACTTTCATCTTCTATATCTCAATATTTTCTGAATTTTCTGTTATCAATGGACATGTATTATTACCTTGTCTTAGCTTGGGCTCCTATAGAAGCAGACCCTGAGACAAGAATATAAATACAAGAAGTATTTTTGGAAGATGGTCCAAAATTAATTTGGTAATTTAGTCATTCAAAAGATGTAGAACGGAGAGAAGAGAAATAAAAAAAGAATGGAAGGCAGCCAAAAGGACACATTATCAAGCGAGTTTCCACCGTGGGCAACGGGCCTAATGCCTATGGCGAACGCTGGGACGTTGGGCTCCAAAGGGGAACACATGCTTGTGAGTTATCACCAGAAGGTGAGGGAGCTGGGATATTTCTACACCTGTCAGTCACTGGCTGAGGATTTCTGGGGTAGGGAGGGGAGGTGGTGGGTCTGATTGGCCAGAGGAAACCTTCAGACAAAGAAAGATTGGCAATTGAAAGTAGAGCTGGTGGACGATAGTGCTCTCAAATGGAAACACCCAAGGGGATATGGATGGGGTACTGACAGTGTCTGCCATATATCTTTATCATCAGGAATAAAACAGTCAGAAAGCTATTTTTTTTTGGGGGGGGGTATGATTTGAATAAAAGAATATTCATTTCTATATCAAACAGATACGAATATGTGTTTAGATATGTTGTGAGATTCTATTTTTCTCATAAAGTTTCTCTGAAAGGTAGTGGCATGCATTACCTCAATATGGGCAGTGAAACATTGGTGCTCCATTATATGCAGACAAGTGTTCTGAGGAGAGAGCTTTCCAAAGTTGAAGGTGGTAAACACTAGGTGAATCAAAGTCACCAAGCACAACCATCTTCCTAAGGAGCTTGTCTTCACAGAACCTTCATATACAAATTTAGCCCTGGCCGAGTGGCTCAGCTGACTAGAGCATCGTCTCATACACCAAAAAGGTGTGGGTTCGAATCCTGGTCAGGGTATATACCTAGGTTGTGGGTTTGATACCCGCTCGAGGTGCATGAGAGGCAACTGGTGGGTGTTTCTCTCTCACATCGATGTTTCTCTCTCTCCCTTACTCTTTCTCTATAATCAATAAAAACATATCCTCGGGTGAGAATAAAAAATATTATTTAAATACAAATTTGCACTGTGAGTCTCCAAGAGGCGCACATGGTGTGCAGTCTTTCTCAAACATGTCTGACCAAAGAATGCCTCTTCTGAGGAATCTTACATTTTCACAGACCAGGAGTAGTTCATAGAACACAGCTCCGGGAAGACTGCTCCTAACAAGTTCTGCTGGTTTTGCAAGTAATGTTAAAGACAAAGCCACTACCTCCACTGAAAGCCTGGTCTTACAGGAAGGGGAACATTATCCTATATAATAAAAGGGTAATATGCAAATTCACCCTAATGGCAGAATGACCAGAACGACCACTGGACCAGGCACTATGAGGTGCACTGACCACCTCTTGGTCTCTTTCCCCAGCTGGCAGGCTCCAATCACCTGATGGCCACCCACTGTGGGGGCGGGGGCGGCGAGCAGGTGGGAATAGCCAACCTCTGGGTCCCTTCCCCTGGCCATCAAGCACCGATCACGGGGAACTGGGGTTAAGTGGTGGCGGGGGGTGGGGCCGGCTGCGGGCAACTGGGTAAGACGGCCTTGATTGCAGGCCAGACCTAGGGACCGGACCCGCACACGAATTTCGTGTGCTGGGCCTCTAGTATTTTTATAAGGAAAAAATGCAATCCCTTAAAATTGCTGCCCTCTCCCCTTCCTTAGAACAGTTCCCAACTGCTTAGATAAATCACTTTTGGCAGATATATCCTTCCATACATAAACACAGAAAAACGTAAGCCTGTGCCAACTGTCCACTGGGGGATTCAGCTAACAGACACTTTTTCATTATCATTAAATGATGTGTGATTCACTGTAAAGAGCCATACAGAAAATAACTTCAAACCGGAGCCTCAGCTCTTGGAGTTTTAAATATATTTTATTCTTTGCTCAGGTGAAAATGGTTACACATTCTCACGTTCGTGTGTTCATGTGTTCTCTAGGTCCCTAAATGAGGAAACTACAGATGCTTTAGTAAAAACTAAAGAAAGCATGACTATAAGATCCCATCACAGAACACCACCAGCTTTTCAGGGTAATTAGGTAGCTGTGACATTTCACATGTCACTGCTTAGCACAGAGCAGGCCCTTGGTACTTACATGTTGAATGAATAAATTATATGGAGCTAACCTGAAGTGCTGAACCTATAGAACTCCAAAGTGGTATCCATACCTACCTTATCTCAAGACCTTTGGGATTTTCAGTGTCGTCAAATTTCAGAGACAACCTAAGAAAACAGAAACAATATAGCGCTTCACACTATACTAAAAAATCACCTCAAAATAAATCATAGACCTAAATGTAACAACTAAAACTAAAAAACTTGTAGGAAAAACATAGAACATTTTTGCAAATTTGGATAAACAATGGTTTCTTGAAAAAACACAAAAGTATGAACCATAAAAAAAATCAATAGTTGTACTTTATTACATTCAAAAACTTTGCTTTTCAAAAGACATCATTAGGAAGAAAAAAAAACAAGCCAAAGAATGGGAGAAAATATTCACAACACATACGCATAAAGAATTTGTATCCGGAATACAATAAATAACATTAACAACTCAACAATAATAAGACAACCTATGCACTAAAAAAGGGGTTCTATGGAAAGTAACCTCACAGGGTAATCTGATCATAAATTCCTAACTGGGCCGGCCAAGGTGGGCAGTCATGCCCTGGGCATATAACTTGTTAGTAAAAAGTTTATCTTTGCCTTAAGTAAGCCCTGTACATTGTTTCTGTGCACCTAGATCAGTGGTTGGCAAACTGCGGCTCGCAAGCCACATGTGGCTCTTTGGCCCCTTGAGTGTGGCTCTTCCACAAAATACCACACGTGGGCGCTCACGTACAGTGCAATTGAAACTTCGTGACCCATGCACAGAAGTCGGTATTTCGTGGAAGAGCCACACTCAAGGGGCCAAAGAGCTGCATGTGGCTCTCGAGCCACAGTTTGCCGACCACTGATCTAGGTTAATACAACTTTGAAATAAGTGTAACCATCCTCAAGAGAACGCACAATCTTATTAAATACTAGAGGCCCAGTGCATGAAATTCGTGCATGGGTGCTGTCCTTAGGCCTAACCAGCGATCAAAGCATAAGCCTCTGGTGTGGAAGGGCAGGTCACAGTTGACCTCTGAGCCCTGGGCAGCACCTGGGCCCCCAGCCCCCCGCACGCCCCACTCCGCCTGAGTCACAGTGCCTGAGTCCCCACGTGGAGATGCAGTGAGCGTGGCCGAACGCCATGGGCCGGGGCGCAACATGGGCCTCTGGGCTGCCCAGCAGCACCACACAGAAGTGGGTGGGCAGCGCACTCTCTCCCGGCTGTCCTCACAGACCGGCTCCTGCGCAAACCCACAGGGAGCCCTACTGGCCCCTGTGGTCCCGGCAGCTGCAGCCTGGCTCACCCAGAAGAGGCCACGTGGATGTGGGATGGGCTCCTCACAGGCACCCAGTACCTGAGCGCGTGGGCTTCCCTGGCGGGCGAGTCCTGGTGTCCCTGGGGAGGGTAGCAGGGGGAATGAAAGCGAGCTCAGCACACTCCACATTCTCACCACACCTCTGTCCCTGTCCCCCCCCCCCCCCCCCGGTAGCCAACGAGAGGTCGCAGCGTGTCACCAATGCCTGCCATGTTCCGCAACGCCCACTGGTGGTCAGTGCATGTTATAGCAAGCGGTCAAACTCCCGGTCTCTTGGTTGAATGACCGCCCAAGGGGACAATTTGCATATTAGGCTTTTATTATATAGGATTCTGTAATTCAATCACCACTTTGCTTTTTCCCCCCACTTCCTTGGAACTTTTCTTACTTTCCCTCAATTTCAAATGCTTCAAAGAAGCTGCAAAGCTGTTATTTTGTGGAGCATTCGAGATCTTGTTCCCCAGCTTATGTCATCAAATTAGCTCAAGTAAACTGTCATCAAAATTCTTTACAGGTTTAGACATTTGTTATACTGACAAAACCTAACTTAAAAATGGTCAAAAGACAGGCACTTCATAAAGGAAGATATACAAATGGCAGTAAGTACATGAAAGGATGCTAAGCATCATTAGTCATCAGGAAAATATAAAATAAACCCACTATAAGATACCATGGTGCAGTAATAAGAATGACTCAAACTTTTTAAAAATATCTACTCTTCAGGGTTTTTTTGTTTTTTTGTTTGTTTTCTACTCTTCAGTTTTTAATATCTATATTTATTCACATTTTCCTGAAAGTTAACTTGAGATTTCCTAGAGCAGAGGCAAATTATTACTTACTCATAACAATAACCACATTGGTTCCCTTTTAACCCAGTTCTTCCCCCTGACCACATGCTGAGACCCAGATATCACCCTGCACATGTTGGGATTGGTAATGCAGGTGAGGAGCACCAGAATTATTGAGACAGGCTAGTAAGCCAGGACAAGCGGAACAGGGAAACTGAGACAGACAGTTAAACAGCCACGCAGTTTACAGTCATCTAGTAAATAACCAAATCCTATCTTCCCTAACCAAGGACACTTAAAGAGTAAATGGTTTGCACTTCTCCCCAACCAGAGGGTAAATAGCTTAAATCATCCTACTCAGGGAGATAAATAACAAAAATCCAATTAGTGCCATTTGTGCCAAGCACACCTAAGAACCGATGAAGTCTGGGGAGTAAATCCCATTCTGCTGCATCAGCATAAAGCTGATGACTATTCTATTGAGATCCTCCCCAAAACTCCCAGGCTTTAAAACCCTCACGATGAAGGACCCCAGCATGCTTTCCCTCCCAGGATCATGCCCAAGCCTTTCTCACCTCTCAGGCATGCATCTCCTAAATTCTAAGGGTCTTGCAACCAGGGGAGCACTAGGCAGCTGCAGCTCATCCCAGGCTAACCCCCTGAACCTGTCTCCAAGGCCTCCTTTACTCTGACTTCTCAGTGAACCAAAGCAGTCCTGCCTGTTGCTTCTTCTATCCTAAGACCTCCCTTGTTTCACTGTCCCAGCGTTATTGAAAGTACTCTCAAAATCACCTGGACTCATATTGTGAAATCTTTCCTGCACAAAATCAAGAACCCCCACATTACTGGCCAGCCCGCGGCAAACATGCTCTGGGCCTGGTTCCTGTCCCGTAACATTGTGAATCTGGGAGTTTACATAGGAGAGTGGCAGCAGTCCCGCAGCACCTCCTGAGAGAGGAGAGACACATCTGCTTCCTTGGTGCCAAAAATTTTCTTTGGGAAGAGAGAAGGGAAGAATCCTAGGTATCTACCACAGAATGTAAGCAGGTGAGTTTCATTAGTCTTTGGATGGGAGCAAATAGTTCACCATAAAAAAGACAAATGGGCCCTGACCGGTTTGGCTCAGTGGATAGATAGAACATCGGCCTTCAGGCTGAAGGCTCTCAGGTTCGATTCTGGTCAAAGGCATGTACCTTGGTTGCAGGCTGGATCCCCAGCAGGGGGCGTGCAGGAGGCAGCTGATCGATGTTTCTTTCATCGATGTTTCTAACTCTCTATTCCTCTCCCCTTCCTCTCTGTAAAATCAATAAAATAGACTTTAGAGGGGGAAAAAGACAAATGCTGCCCTGACCAGTGTGGCTCAGTGGGTTGTGTGTCCATCGTCCATGCACAAAAAAGTTGCCATTCAATTCCTGGTCAGGGTGCATGCCTGGGTTGTGGGCTTGATCCCTGGTAGGGAGTGTGCAGAGGCAGCCAATCGATGTTTCACTCTCACAGCAATGTTTCTCTCTCTCTCTCTCCCCCTTCCTTTCTCTCAAAAAAAAAAAAAATCAATTATAAAAAGGGACAAATGGCTGCAGGTCCAAAACCATGGTATGTAAATGTATGTCTCCAAGGGGAAGATCAGAAGCCTCTCTGGGTTTCCAAGCCCTGGAATGTCTCCACAGCCCTGAGCTTATTATTACTTGACCTGTAAACACATTCCTCTAAGGAGGAAAATCTCTTACTAGCCTGAGGCTTATCTTTTCACCCAAGTCCCAGTAAAAGGTGTTCAGAAATTACTAGCCATGCAGAAACAAAAATATTTTCTCTACAGTTCCACACTGACCATACCAAGTGTTGGTGAGGATGTGAAGTAACTGGAACTCTCACACAATGGTGGTGGAAAGGAAACTGGTACAACCACTTTAAAAAAGTTTGGCAGTTACTTTAAAAACTAAACAGCATGTAACATTATACTTAAAATAGTTTTTCTTGAAATATTAATATTTATTGCATGGAAAAAATAAATAAAATTTGATTTACACTAAAAAAAGAAAAACTAAACATATACCTACTATGTGTTCCAGCTATTCCACTCTGAGGAGAAAAAAACAAATTTCCATCATGAGGTGGATGGATGAAAAAGTTGTGTTATATGCATATGACGTACATACTACTCAGCAATAAAAAGGAACATACCCTTGAGACATGCACCACATCAAAGAATATCAAAATCATTAGCTAAAGGTAAAGAACGTACACTATATGATTGTATTTACATAAAATTCTAGAAAGCACAAACTAGTCTGTAATGACAGAAAGCAGATCAGTGGTTACCTAGAGAGGTGGGAGGGCAGGATGATGGTTACAAAGAAGCACAAGGAAACTTTAAAGCAGTGGTTCTCAACCTTCCTAATGCTGCGACCCTTTAATACAGTTCCTCATGTTGTGGTGACCCCCAACCATAAAATTATTTTCGTTGCTACTTCATAACTGTAATTTTGCTGTTATGAATCGTAATGTAAATATCTGATATGCAGGATGTATTTTCATTGTTACAAATTGAACATAATTAAAACATAGTGATTAATCACAAAAACAATATGTAATTATATATGTGTTTTCCGATGGCCTTAGGCGACCCCTGTGAAAGGGTGGTTCAACCCCCAAAGGGGTCGAGACCCACAGGTTGAGAACCGCTGCTAAAGCAAAGCCATGCTGAGATGCCCTAATCTCTGTCCTCCTCTCCTGAGAGAGAAGCTCAACAGCCCCCACGCTTCTGACACTTGAGTTTTCTCCAGCAGTCCTGGTTTTAGTGAAAGCTGTTAACATGCTCCGAGCAGAGTAAAGAACATGAGGCCTGCTGATGTAGCTCAGTGGTTGAGCATCCACCCATGAAACACGAGGTCATGGTTGGATTCTTGGTCAGGGCACTCGCACAATCCCCAGTAGGGGGCGTGCAGGAGGCAGCCGATTGATGATTCTCATCATTTATGTTTCTATCTCTCCTTCTCCCTTCTCCTCTCAGAAAATCAATTTTTTAAAAAGAACATGAGACCTGATTTTAACAAAGCAAATTCAATGACCATTCGGTGAGCAACCGTTAAGTGCCAGGCAATGCGTGGTAAACGATACACACAGGAGAAATGCAACCCAGCAAGTCACTCAAAAAGGAGCTTATTTTACTCTTCCAAGCTCCCTACCTCCCATGTTTAAAATGGATTCTGAATTCTTCAGACTATAACTGCCTAATTCAAAATATAGACAGATACTAGGATTATGCTCTATTTGTAGGGCTTTGACTATTTAACAAGACTTCCATTGGAAATCTGTCTGCCAACAATTTGCCTTTCCCTGAACATTGTGTTTTCAAGCACTAAAACATGTTCATCTTTTTAAAATCTGTGCTTTTGACCTTACATGAACTTGCTTAAGTTTTTTCTTTCAGCAACTCCCTTTCTGGTTCTTGAGGACATGAGTTTTTAGCCAGCACTGCATGCTCAGTCAGGAGTCAGGGACAGACACTCAGTCTCAGCAGCTGGTCCTTGACCACCTACATCCTGGGAAGCCTCCCTTATCCCCGTGGAGGAAGCAGATGCTGCACACTCAGTTCTTGCCCTGAGTATAATTCTAGAGCGATGACCAAGAAGAAAAAAGTCAGGTTCCACCCAATCATTAATGTTTGCATTGTGAAACCCAAAACTTCTTTGGGCCTCTCCGCCAGGTAACTAGACACTATTTTACACTAGTTATCACTAGTATGTTAGGAAGGTCTTCTAACATACTAGAGGCCTGGCCTGCGGGATCGGGCTGAAACTGGCTCTCTGACATCCCCTGAGGGGTCCTGAATTGCAAGAGAGTGCAGGCCAGGCTGGGGGACCCCACCAGTGCATGATCAGGGCCAGGGAGGGATGCGGGAGGTTGGCCAGCCAGGGAGGGCTCCAGGGCATGTCTGGCCCATCTCACTCAGTCCCAGCTGGACCCCAGCAGCAAACTAACCTACCGGCCGGAGGGTCTACCCCCTGGTGGTCAGTGCACGTCATAGTGAGTGGTTGAGCAGCCTTAGCATATCACTAGCATATTACGCTTTGATTGGTTGAATGGACGACCAGATGACCAGACACTCAGCATATTAGGCTTTCATTAAGTAAGATACTTTGAGTAACACTTGACAAGTTTTCAAAGTTCTTATCCATATATTTCCTTATTTGATTTTCACTACCTTAAGAAGTAGGGCCAAGAACGAGGAGGTTGAATGTCATCATTAAAGATGTTTTAGACCCCAGCCCTATTACCATATAAGCTGTATAATCTTAGCAAGTTTTCTAAGCTCTAGATGCCTTGACTTTCTCATCTGGAACATGGACAATAATAGTACCTGTGACTCGGGGACTTATTGGCAATAGTACTGTGAGGAATATCAAACATCAAGCTTGTGAAGTCCATGCACGACACCTGGACCATGGTTATAAGTGCTCCTGGCTGTTAGTTAATAGATGCCATCACCTCCATCTCACAGATTATGATTCTATTGTGGCTCCAGTTTTGTAAAGTCACAGAGCTCACTGGCAGAACTCGGATTAGAAGCCAAGTTTTCATTCTTTCTGTGGGATCCCAGTGATCATTGTGGTTTCTAAAGCCCAGCAAAATCCGATGGTGCTCTGTTCTTCCCCACAAATAGCCTCAGATCAGAATAAATGGAATCAAGGAGGGTCAGTCAGACATGGATAGGCAAGACATTCCCAGGCAATCAGCCTCTCTCTGAGCAGCTGACTGCCAATAACGAGCCCTGTAGGGAACTGACTAGTGCCTGAGGAAAGATTCCTAAACTCTCAGCAGTGCTGGAGTCTCTGATAGTCAGCTATAACAGAATCAACAAATCTGGGAGGACCCTGGATGCTTACAATTCCATAGTTCCCTAATAAGAGCTTTATTCTGAGTAACAAGGTACTTACTAAGACTTGTAATAAAACTTGTAAGTTTATATTAATATAAGCCATTTTACCCAACATCAAGAATTTTTGAAGTTCAAGAAAAAAGTGTTTTCAGCCAAAGTATATAAATATAAAAAGACCACACACACACACACACAGTATGTTATGGTTTATATAATGCATTCAGCCCATCTAAACCAGACCAGAACAGAATCTTCCAAAATCCTCCATTATACCAGTAAATATTGAAAGCAAGAAGATTTTCAGGAAATAAGTGGGACATGCCAGACTTCCTCCCCCTGGACCAAAACAAATACAAGCAAAAAATTTTGCTTCGACAACTGAAAAGCAGAGAAAGGCATTGGCAATTGATTTCCTCCTCTAAAGGCGTATTTGTTTAATCTGCTTATGTCAAATCAAATGTAATTATTCTAATCATTTTGAAATGTCCTAAAGGATTATCTGTTCTCAATTTTTTGATCCAGCAATTCCTCTCCTGGGTATATACCCAAAAACCTCAAAATCATGTATTTGCAAAGATATATGCACCCCTATGTTCACTGCATCATTATTCATGGTGGCCAAGAAATGGAAACAACCAGTATCCCGAGATAGAGGGTTGGGTAAAGAAGATGTGGTACATATACATAATGGAATACTATTCAGCCATAAGAAAGAATGAAATAGCGCCATTTGCAATAACATGGATGGACCTTGAGAACATTATGCTAAGTGAAATAAGTCAGAAAAAGGTAAGAACGATATGATTTTACTCATATGTGGGATATAAAACTGAAACTCATGAACACAAACAGCATGTGATGGTTGCCAGAGGGAAGAGGGTGGGGAGAGAAGGAGGGAGAAGATTTGACTTTGGGTGGTGAGCACATGTGCAATATAAAGATCTTATAACATAGTAACCCACACCTGAAACCTATATGTTCATGTTGACCAATGTCACCCCAATAAATTTCATTTTAAAAAAAAGAATTATCTGACATTTGGCCATTTAAAGGTACCCTAGCATATTTTTAAACAGACCATGTTCCGCAACTTCAGAACTGAGCAGGATCCAGCAATTCCTCTCCTGGGTATATACAGGATCAGTCTTCTCCATTCACCCACTGGAATGATTCTGCCCTGTGATATCAAATTTCCTCCCTGATGAGACCAATGCAGTTTGACATCTCACGTTTGGAACTGATATCATGCCTGGAATCCTTTTCTCTTTTTCAGAATGCATTTGACAACTTTCATTTTTGGAGCCCTGATTTCCCACAAGATACAGTAATAATCAGCTAAAGGATTCAGAAGAAAAGTGCTGAGACAAAAAACTAACACATTTTTAAAAATTAATTTCTGACTTGGTCTTCATTGTAGATTATTAAAAATTTCCTGATGGATGTGTGTCAGGTCATATACAAAGGAACCTACTTCTTTGTTCTGAAATGACAGAAAACTGGACGGTCCAGTTAATAGACTACAATCACCCAAAAGGCATCATCTGATGAAATGGTCAACTTACTTGGCACTTTCTTCACTGCAATTTGAGTTGGTAGCATCCACTGTTGCCTTCTGGCCAAAAGCTTCCTCTGTAAGGTCCAGCCAGATCTGGTTCTTAAACTTAATTGTTATTCTTTTGGCCCAAAAGAGAATGCAAGGGATTCCATCCATGGAGATATTAACTGGGCTGTCATGGCTGAATGCATTCCAAGGTTCTTTTACTAAATGCCCTTGTCTGCTCAGATTGTAGTTCAGGGCCTAATTAACCAAATAAACAAAATAAGAGACAAAATGCTTTCTGGAAGCAAAAGGGCTAATTCACAAACTATTGAAACTGATCTCTCTATCCAGAATCCATATTATTGTGGGGCAAAGGAGATAAGTGGACCAGATCATAGCAAGCCTTACAAGATAAGTATACTTGAAAGGTACATGAACCCATTTCCACAAAGCACCAAAAATGGAAAAGACCAAATTAAAAAACAAACAAACAAAAACCCAATTTTTCCAATACCATTATCAATATAGACTTTAAAACGTCACTTGCTGGGGCAGAAAGCAGGGATGCAGATTTTTAGGGCCATGAAACTACTATTCTGTATAATACTGTAATGGTGAATAGATAACATTATATATTTGTTCAAATTCACAGAATGTACAACATAAAGAATAAATCCTAGTGTAAACTATAGACTTTAATGAATAATAATTTATCAATATTGGCTCATCAATTTTAACAAATGTACCACACTAATGAAAGATGTTAAATATAGGAAAAATTGGAGGAGGGAGGAATTGAGAGGGTATATAAGAACCTTCTATACTTTTTGTTCACTTTTTTCTGTAAACTTAAGTCTATTAATTTAAAAACTTCATCATGTCATGATAATTGCAGTAATCTCATCAGAAAATAATATCAGAAGAACCCAAATAATGTAGGACTTTAAATAAAGAAATTAATGTTAAAGAAAACAAGAGGTTTTTAGAAATCAAGCATAATTCTCCAGACCATTATGTCCAACAGAACAATCTCCAATACTGGATGTGTTCTATATCTATACTGTCTAAAGGCTGGTGTGGCATAATGCACTGGAAATGTAGCCAGTGCAACTAAAGAGCTTAACCTCTAATTTTACTTAGCATTATTACTTTGGAATTTAAATTAAAATGCCACATGTGGCTAATGGCTACTGTCTTGAACAGTGCCAGCTCCAGATTACTTAATATACATAAACTAGCAAACTAGTATGTTTTAATTCTTATGAAACCTTTGCTGATTTCCAGGAAGCCTAAGACAAAGCACTTCCATACCTGACTCTGGAGGTCACAAAGACAGGGATATATCTGAAAGAAGATCCACTTATCTAGATAACTACTCCATACCAATTCCTCCATTGTAAGTACAAAGAGAAATTTAACAGTCAGCAGCAATGCAAGCTTGCCTGTAACCAAAGATAAAATGGTCCTATAGTGATTCCATCTAGAAAGCAACAAAAGTAAAACTAACTAAAAAAAAAAAAAAAGTAAAACTATTGTAATGAAATATGTAAGAGAAGTGAAACTTTAGTTTTTCTCAACAATAAGATTACCATAATACATTTCCCCACCCAAAGCTCAAGCAGAATATTATTTATTAATAGAATTACTTATATTTTCACAGTGGCTCTGACCTGATTGAAATGCTTAAAATTTTTAAAGACATAATTTAGTTCCCTAACATATCCATACCTGTGTGACTGGTATTGTTGTGAAATTCTGGATTGGTTTCATATCTCCATTATTTTGTTGATCTGTCAAATAAATGAGAGGAGTACAAAGGCTGAATGTCATCAATTGATTCATGTAAATCAGTTGAGGGGACAGAAGGAAGCTAGGTAGACAGGGGTGGGACCACGGAAAAGGAAATAGACTAAAGCACCCCAACAGGGCGGGGAAGGAAGGGTACTCCCGATGACACGAACTTTAAAATGTATGGATGTTGTTAAGACAGCAGCATATAGATAATCAATAACAAGGCAGAAAGGCCTATGTGGGAACCATGCCAGGTCCCCGGATAGTCAAGGCCGGTCGGAGCATTAAGGCCTTGTTATTAATATATTAGAATACCAAGGGCCACTCTGAGCATAAGTCTAATTGGAATGTCCAAGGACTCTGAGCCTGGGAATTCTGATCAGGCCAAGATACCATGAGTGGGTAAAGGACACATGGTACACTGTGTCCTTCTGTAGTCAATATGATTGATGTCACTGTTGGCACGAAGCCTTCTTTGGTTTGGCTCAGTGGATAGAGCGTCAGCCTGCAGACCGAAGGGTCCCAGGTTGGACTCCAGTCGAGAGCACTTGCCCAGGTTGTGGGCTCGATCCCCAGTAGGGTGCATGCAGGAGGCAGCCGGTCAATGATTCTCTCTCATCATTGATGTTTCTGTCTATCTCTCCCTCTCCCTTCCTCTCTGAAATCAATAAAGATATATTTTAGAAAAATAAATAAAAGTAGGTTACTGACAAGCTAGTTGGCTGGAGTAGGCTAGAGTCGGCTGAGGATGGAGTGAGAAGAAGTCTGCTAGAGAGAGCAGCTGGGCAGGAGAGACAGGAGAAGCTGCTGAGTCAGAGAGGTCAGGTACCACTATGATGTGAGACAGTAAGTCTAGGAGGCAGCGTGTGGCTGCTCAGCTATGGGTACAGAGACTAATGCTGCTTTAAGGGAAAGATATGCATTTACCAGCTGGTGTCTGGCTGCCTGCCTGTATGGACTTTGCTGTGAGAACTGTTCTTGTATGATGGTTATATGGCCACTGGCTTCAGCAATAAAGACTCATTCTTATAAACCCACAACCTCTCATGGCTTCTTCGGGTAAGACCCAGCATCCCAGGAGGTCCAGCCCTAGGCAGAGGGGCTCAGGCCCAACACCTGTTACTAGTAAGCAGAGGATAAAGGAGGAACTTAGGGACTAAGTTCCCAACAGTTAGTACAGTGGGCAGGGTTCAAGCAGGAACCAGCCCTGACATAGTCAAATAAAATTTTTTTTTAAATATATTTTATTGATTTTTTACAGAGAGGAAGGGAGAGAGATAGAGACAGGAACATCAATGAGAGAGAAATATCGATCAGCTGCCTCCTGCACCCCCCCCACCCGGGATGTGCCCGCAACCAAGGCACATGCCCCTGACCGGAATCGAACCTGGGACCCTTCAGTCCGCAGGCCGACGCCCCATCCACTGAGCCAAACCGGTTAGGGCAAATAAAATTTTTTTAAAAAAATACATAAACTCATAGCCACTCAGAACAACTCAGAGCACCAGAGCTCATGCAGGGCTCCTGCTACGTGCTCTGACAGCACATAAACCAATCCAAAGGATATTGCTAAGGCAGAATTCTTTGAAAAGACCAATTAAGAGCTAGCAAGACTACCCACCCCCTAAATTAAAAGTTGCGCATTTCCTCTTGTTCTCTCTCTTCTCCCTGGCATGCAATGGGTTCCTGATGTTCGTTCCTGTGGTGGGAGAGCACATCCCTGCGTCCACTTGGTTTATGGCCATGTGGGCTTCCACACATGGACTATTAGACTTTAATTCGCTTGGATACTAAATTACTCCCAATTGTAACATGGAAAGGAAGTTCCGGACACTGGGCTGTTCTTGGAACCCCAGCTACACCTTTTCCAGGACTGGCTTCTCCTAATAAACGTTGGTTTCATTAGTCGTTTTTGTTCATGATTTTATTATTCAACTTTGAAAGACATGATCCCGGGAAGACCTTCGGCTCCAGTCGGGTATCACAGTGATAATAACATGCTAATCACTGTGAAATATACCAGGCTTGAGCCTCTTTTGACTCATAATTTAGAATACACAAGTTTAAGAGATTTTCATAGGAGAGACTCCTGGTGCAAGCACCAGTGTTCAGGGAAGGCCATCACATTCAAAGCCCTTCCTCAATCCCCCAAGGAATCATAAGGGCAACTGTAGGTCTTACCACTCTTTATAACCACTTCTTTATTTGAAGATGTTCGAGAGCTGAAACAAGAAAAATATGAAATTAAAAGATGCTGAACAAATATTTACATTTCAGATATTATGTGAAGTTTTAAGGAGGATATTTCAGCTTATAAATTTTCAGAGTAAAAAGCAGAATTTTAGCCTGCCAAAAACATCCACTTTTTAACAATAAATTTATGGTTTAAAAAATAATATATGTTCTTCAAAGAAATAAAACATAATAAAATATTTTACAGTGAAATTTTATGCTACATGTATGAACTATCATATAAACTCATAATATGTTTACAATTAGAGAAATACATATATTACATATCATGATCTATATGCAAAACATAATTTTAGCTAAAGAGTTATTAAATCTATATCATAGAAAAGTGCTTTAGAATTATATGGAACCAATTACAAATTAAATGCACCATTCACTTTGCAACTCAATCTTTATTATCTAACTAGAGGCCCGGTGCACAAAATTCGTGCACGGAGGGGGGAGGTGTCCCCTTAGCCCAGCCCGCACCCTCTCAAATCTGGGACCCCTCAGGGGATGTCTGACTGCCGGTTTAGGCCCAATCTCGAGGATTGGGCCTAAACCGGCAGTCGGACAGTCACACCTAACTGCCCCCCCACCAGCCTGGTCACCCCTTACTGGCCCCCATGCAGGCCTGGTCACTCCAAATTGCCCCCCCTGCCAGCCTGGTTGCCCCTCACAGCCCCCCCCTGCTGGCCTGGTCACCCCACGCAGCCTGCTGTTCAGTTGTTTGGTTGTCCCTCACTAACACCCCTGCCGGCCTGGCCACCCCACGCAGCCTGCTTGTTCAGTCGTTTGGTCGTCCCTCACTAACCCCCCTGCCAGCCTGGTTATAGACAGTCATTTTTGTGAGGGCGTGACAGTCAATTTGCATAATACCTCTTTATTACATAGGATAAGAATTTATGAAGATGACAAATTGGTAACCATGATGTCACTACTAATAAGTTCATGCAGGCATGAAATTATTGTTTCACTTTACAAATTTTACTGAGGCATAGTTTAAGTATAAAAAAATGCATCCATTCAATGTGTACAATTCGATGCATTTGGGCATAAGCATATACCCATTACACCTGCCACAATAAAGAGACATCCCAAGTTTCCCCATGCACTTTAGCGATGGAGAGATGTTCCTTTCACCTTCAGCCACAGGCAACTATAGACTTGCTTTCTGTCACTTTAGATTAGTTTGCATTTTCTAGTATTATAAACAGAATCATATAACATACTAGAGGCCCGGTGCACAAAAATTTGTGCACTGGGGGGGGGGGCGGTCCCTCAGCCCGGCCTGGGCCCT